CAACACGATCAGTCCCTGGGATCACCTTTCCAGGTGGAAGCCGCCATCTCCGGGTGTTGGGCAGTAACTCGATCCCGCAGCCCCAGATCCAGACGCTGCCCCGTGAGGCTCCGCCGGGGAGAAATTGCCTCCACCGCAGACAGACCCCGCTGCAGGGAGAGCTCCCACCACCATGCAGGTAAGTGTTGGGGCACAGCATGAGGCTGTTCCCTCTGGGACAGCGGGATAACAGCTTTCCCTTTGGCTTCTTACCCTGCCAGCTTTCACAAGGTGTTGTCGGGCCAAGAACCAAAGGCTCTCCTTTGAGGACACACATTAACGTTACAGGTCCTCAGTAGCATTCTCAGGCCTTCAGTAACAGCTTAAAAACAGTCAGAAAATATTAATAGTGAGTTATTCCTCAGTATTTCCATGTATGGATGCACACAAAGGAGCCTTCTAAACTACGGTGTGGTAGTGCCCTTCTCAGCTTGGCATCTCGCTGTGCCACAAGCAGCAGGGTTGCTTGATCTGCAGGAGAAAAGCCTTGTGCTAATAATACGAAGACCATGGTCTAAAAGTCGTGATTCCGTTTTGCATGAATACATCAGAAAAGGAAGGAAAGCCTTTCTGTTCTAGTAGCAAGGGAATTCAGTGTCTGTGTCTTCTCTTCCCCAGCTGACCCTCTGCAGGCTCCGGACTCACCAGTGGTGCTTCATTCTCTTTAATGTCTTGCTTTTCCACGTGCTGCTTTTTGGAGCAGATTTACTAGAGGAATACTTCCTGAGGTCGTTACCTCTTTCTTACACTGATGCAAAGACTCTGGAAATCAGGGAGAGGGCCAGGAAGCTAGATATGGATCTTCTAAAGGCCAATCTCTCCTACCCTGTCAGCGGCGCAGCAAAATGCTCTGACCAAGAGATATTTTTGCTCGTTCTTGTCTGCAGCAGCCCAGAAAACAGGACAAGGCGCAACGTGATCAGGCAGACGTGGGGCAACGTGACAGACGCCAGAGGTTATGCTGTCCTTACTCTGTTTGCTTTAGGAAAGTCGGCTTCAGCAACCACCCAGCTGGAGATCAATGAAGAGTCTCAAAAGCATGGAGACATTATCGAGGGCAGTTTCATTGATTCTCCCGAGACGCAGACACAGAAGATGCTGATGATCGTGGAGTGGACAGTGACTTTCTGTCCCCGGGCAAGGTATATTCTTAAAACAGATGAAGACATGTTTGTCGGTATTCCAGGTCTGGCTGGATACTTGCTTAGCTTAACACAACTAGAGGACATCTACATTGGGAGGGTCATTCATCAAGGAGTGCCCGACAGGGACCGCGAAAGCCCTGGCTTTGTTCCCATCCATCAATACTCAGAAGAGTTTTACCCAGATTACTGTGACGGGAGCGCTTTCGTCATGTCCCAGGACGTCGCTCGGAAGGTGTACGTGGCCGCCAAGGAGGTGCCAGTTTCGGTGCCCCCCGATGTCTTCATTGGAATCTGTGCTAAAAAAGCTGGCATCACTCCCTTTCACAGCTCTCGATTTTCTGGGCAGAAGCACATCAGCTACAATCGATGCTGCTATAAATTCATTTTCACCTCTTCCAACATGGAAGAGGACGAGTTATTTAAAGACTGGGAAGAAACAAGCGATGGAAAAGATTGCTCGTTACTGGAGACTTACTACAGTCTGGTGTCCTGCAAGGTTTTGACCTACATTGATAAGTTCAAACAGTTTGATGTAGAGAGAATTAAAAACGAGGTTCTTCATTTCGTCAATTAAGATTTAATGTTTGCGAAGAAAGTCTGAATTTTCTTTTAGCAGCTGCTTTATCCTGTTAAGATTCAGTAACTATTTCCTCTCAAAGTTAACCCTCTTCCCTTCAACAGCAAATGAGTTCTCTCTATAGTGTTTCTGCAAGAGAACTGGATGTACTCTTAACTATTTAAGTACCTACAAGTGCATGCATGCATGTAAAAAAAAAAAACCAAAAAGTACTCCAGGAAGCTTTGTCTATATCCACTGTTTTCCAGACTTTTGAAGTCCTCTACCTTATGCCATAACTCCTCCTGCATTTTTTATCTGAGGCATCACCTAATTCTGAAGTATTTTGTAACAAAGGGGAACCTTTCCATGCACAAAAGGGAGCTACTTCTGAGCAGCCTGTTTCACAGCACCAGGGAAACTCGAACGGCTTGGAGCGGGAACAGACATCCAACTGCCATGGGAATTGCTTCAGTAAACAGCCTGGGGGGATTCTAGGCAAGAAATCGAACTTACCTGTTAAAGAACCTGTGTTTCTGGCAGTCTTGGTGTCAGAGCAGCACTGACACAAGCAGCTCAACACCGTAACGTTGTGCTGGAGAACAGCAGCAGCAGCAAAGCCAGAACAAATTCCCCAGCAGCTGGTAACACCAACTTTATTCCCAAATTAGGAACCAGCCACCAAGCACAACCCCACCCATGCCTACCTCCTCCACATTAACTCTTCCATTTCAGCTCTTTCAGCAGCAAAGACGAGATGGACACATTTGTTCTACAATTGTGATGAACACACATGGGAACAGACATCCACGTGTGCCTTTGAGGGCACCATCTCCTCTTCCCGTTGCGACGGAAGGAATCGAAGGTGTGCTCCAAAGGATCAACAATTCTTCAGGATCCTTCTCCAAAGGATCTTTAATTCTACCAAGTTATGCTGTTTGTAAACCAGGGTCAAGTTATAAGTTTTAGTTTGTTTTTTTTTTGTTTGTTTGTGTTCTTTTTTTTTTTTCAACCCAAGTTCATCAAGTTTAGCATGTTATCTTAATGCTTATTCACCATCATTCCATTTGTGTTTTTTCCTCAATTATCTCCATGTGTTACTTTACAGGAGGCAGGACAGGGACAACATGCTTAAAATCCATTGTAAGCAAGATACACCAGCAGCAACATGTAAACCATATGGCAACAGACAGGATGGTAGGGAACCACATGCGAATAATAAGGGGTGTGAACTGGATCAGTGAACTGGAATGCTGAGCTCAAGGCTCAACAAAATAAAGCATAAGTACATATATAAAAAAAAAAATCCTCGTTTGGCATGTCCGTGTATTCTAAAATATTGTATTTGGCAAATGTACCATGCAAAGCAGATGCTAAAGACTTAGCACACAGAGTAGCCTTCAAAAGCAACAGCTGAAAACACACATGGAAGGGAGTCATGAATTGCAGAAAAGGTTTATATATGGATTTCTCTTACTGGGATTTTAGTATACGGCCCATACAGAGCTACCAGCGCACAAAGCCACCTAAAACAACAAAGCTGAATTGTCCAATACAAGCGCAAACTAAGGACTTCTATACTCCTTTTTGTTTCCTTTTCAGTGCTTTCATGTTTTTTCTGGATGCAGGATTCAGGAAGCTTCTGTGCTGTCCCCGTTCGCAAACGAGACACCGTGTGCTGCATTTCTCACTAGCAGATGTTTATTACGCACATCTAGGATGAAAACGTTAGCAGCAGGATAATGCTGGATGACAACTTTTGTACACATTACATCACAAGCAACAAGGCAGATCACCTGCATTCAGATAGCTCATTACACATCAAGGGACCTTTCCCAACTACCCTGCTCCTCTGAGCCCACTTGGATGCCTTGCCAGCAATTTTTGGCAGGCAATACCATCACCTCTGCTGCAGCTCAAAGCTACTACAAGCAAGGAAAGAGTTACAGCATGACTAGGTCATCCTGCTTCACTTGGCAGAGTAGGGACACAGGGCGCGTGCTTTCCATAGAGATATACCTGACTTGACACACTACTAAAATAAGCCTAGAAGTAGTAATTTTGTATTTTCTTATGCTCCCCCCAGCTACTCCTCAGATTTGTTTCTTTTGTCCTCAACAAAAAGAATATAAACCTTTTGTATAAAGTACATTGTGGTCTCTGTCTATGGACAAAGACATAGGACATGTCACTAGAGTGTCCAACTAGTCTTGCATCTCACCTGCAGCCAGTCGACCATCTTCAAAAGAAGATTACAACTTTGTAAGGTACTACATTTCCATACTCCTAATTCAGTTCATGCCCTTAAACATGAAAGCTTTATGTTCCTACTCCTTTTATTCTAACTCAGGCAACTAAAGCCATACATTTTGTTTAAATAACACTTAAAATTAAAAAATTCTCTCTGTTAAAAAATAGTGTAAACAATTTAAGATTTGGTTCTGAAGTAGACTCGTAGTGCTATAGCTCATGCTCCTTTTGAGCAAGTAAACTGAGCTGCCACACAAAGTCGCAGGTCAACAAGGGAGACAAAGCTCCCAATTTGGTTTCACACACTAGAGCATGCATTCATTTGTTTTCAAAAGGGCTAAAAAGCTTTTTTCCATCCTCAGCGTAAAATGTAAACAACATTTAGGATTATTTATTCAAGCAAGACTTGGACATCCAGAAAGTTGAAAACAGAAGAGAATCCAGTTGGTACTCCCTCATGTGGACAGAACATTACAAGCTTATTCTTGCCAACACAGGGTTTCTGGCAGCATAGGACTGGCTGAAACACTATGTTCCACGCAAGTGACAAGTTTGGCAGCTATAAAATAAAATTTAAAAAAGAGACAGAGAAACTACGGCAGCATCTGAGGGTACAAAACTCGAGGTGGTTTGGTGTTTGGTTTTGGGTTTTTTTTTTAATTGAACTGTGGTCTACTAAGAAAACACGACAGGAACTCGAAACCTGAGAGCAGTTTAACCAAACACCAATGGTTTCTGCAAACTAAAACACAGTCAGCAGTTGCTAGAGAGCTTACCTTTGTCTCACGACAGTGCACAGAGAACTTCTGCCGTGACACTCTATGGGAAATTATGCTGTGCCCTACAGGTTTTGATTTGCTCTTGTCCCATGTCAAACAGAGTCAAAGCCCTTCACATCCCTTTAAAGAGACAATCTGAGGAGACTCCAGTGCGAGGAGTCTTTACACCTTACACCTTAACACCGATTTCAGTAACATGGTTTGCAAGGAGGGGAACCAAGACATCAATGATTATTCTGCTCCTTCCACGGCTGTAGTAGAAACTGCCTTAACATAATAAGGGCCTTCACGCAAGTAGGCCCTCAGCCTCAAGTAATACTGATTCCCAAAGATTTCCGCGATTGTTTTAGAGTTTACAAGAGCCTTAACCAGTTCGTATTTGGCATCCTTCGAAGCTTTGTCAGGCTCCACAGACCTGTCCACGACGTACTCCACAAACCCCGGACTGTCAAGCATCAACTTCTGGGCCCACGGTTGATTTGCAATAGCCTAAACATGAAAACAAAAGAGCAGGGAGAGGGAAACATGTCATTTGAAAAACCCCAGGAACAGTCACACAGCAGGCTGTCAGCAAACAGCCGAGGAACACAAAAAATGCACCAGGATATTCATCCTACACAGTAGTTGCACAGCCCCCACTCAAACCAAGCAGCAGGGTTTAACACTGGAAAACAAGCACAGCTCAGTGCTTATCTTTAAAGTTTTAAGTGAATTATCACAGCAGTGCCTCTCATATCAAAGCAGCACCCGAGAGCAAAGCCACTGCCTTTTTTTTTTTTTAGTTCTCCAACTTATAAGAAAATAAGCATCACAGAGATAACATGTCTGCTGCATTATTTAAATGGTGAATGCAAGTGGGGAGCAATGGAAAAGGCCTTATTTCTGACTGCTTCTGGACTTCAACAAGAAGATTGTAGCATTCACTTACATTTTGAGACTGAACAGCAATACAGTTAGCTACCTGATCTTTAAAAACAAAAAGCACTTACAGTAAATACCCGTAAAGCCCCACAGTGGAGATCAGGGAATGGCTGAGTACTGATGCTCCTGAAGAGTTCCAGTGGCTGGCTAGACAAGGATGTGAACCAGGATTCAGTCATTCTTAAAAGGTCTTCTGTCTGCTGCTCTGGCTACACACATCAGAGAAACACACAGAAATGAAAGAGTTTGATCAGGATTACGAAAAGCTTTCAAGTTTTGAATAGTTAAGGAAGTTATTTACAACAAACCACCAGCAGATTAAACTGAATTAGCTTAAATTTTCAACTTATTTTCATGAATGAAAAAGTGGCCTTCTATATTTCATTTAGTTTGGAGGACAGATGTAAATAAATTGACTTTGATACACAAGATAAGTGCTGTGCTGGAGCGCAGTCCTGCAAGACAAATGAGAACGGCTTACTCGCTCATTTAGAGCTACGCTATAAAAACCAGATCACTGGATCCAAAGAACATACACAGGGATCAGAGCAGTTTGCCACTATCCCTTTAAAGCACAGGAATATTAAACTGTTTACTCTCATTCCCTTGCCAACGCTGTCTTGACTTCATGTTTTATAAACAGATTTCAGAACACCTGGCTTCTTACAAACTCAAACTTTAAGCAAACAAATAAATCAGGAATTTCAAAACAGTAAAGTTAATGACTCGGAATACCAGCAAGCCACCACTTCTACCTAAACTGGATGCTGCAAAAGGTCTTCACACAATTAGTCAGATGCACAAGAATTTAATTCTAAAAAAAAAAAAAAAAAAAAATCAAACAAAACCCAATCAACTAAACCATGAACTCACATGCAAGTAAAGAAGAGATGAAATCGCATCCAAGCATCGAAGTCGTAACTCTGTGGGGGCATTCTTTGCCTGATGGCCTATTCTGTTTAACAGATTTTGAAATCTACTTCCTTTGAAAAGAAAACCAAAGTGGTTTTAATTAATTCAGACAGACTTCTGCAGGAGTACAGAGTTACCTGTCAGTCACATTATACTATATTAACTGGTACAAATAAAGCCGAGAAAGGCTACTTCTTGATCTAATATAATAAAAGCAGTGTAAGATTCTCTTTGCTTCATATGGATCGAACACAGACAAATCCAAAGCTTTTATGTTAAATCTCCAGACTATCCAAACATTTCCAAAAAGGAAATGATGTCTCACAGGTAATTGAGCTACCTTGGGAAGTGTGGACCCGAGTACACTTGTCATTGGAAATCTTCCATGGCATTCTCCAGTGCTCCGACAGCTATCTGCTAATCCACATTTTCACTTAAAAACCAAAGTCTGGACTAGCAGCCAGAAGCCTAGCACCTACTTTGAATCCTCTGAACAGTTTTATATTAAGAAAAACAGTGCAGTCTTCACAGAAAGCACAATTACATGAGAGTTCATATTTCTCTAATCCTGGTGAGAAGGTCAAGACACTGGTAGAAACAGAGTGCTCTAAAATAGCACAACTACTGATGATTCATATGATGCAGCTCCCTACAAAAGAATAATTCAAATCACACTTGCAATACCAGAAATCTGGCTGACAGGCATTTCACACTGCCACGCCTGGCAAGATGGTTAAAAACCACCTCATCTGCCCTACCACAGCTATTCAGACACCCTCGATTATGAGATAAATAAATACATTTTTCAATTCCTTTCTCTATGATACCAAACCAATTCACACTTGTATATTAGGACACACTAGGAAAGTTTTATTAAAGAAAAAAAATATATATACTAACTAGTTTTCTGTAAAACCTGTTTGCCTTCTACATTTGATCCCAGGATTCCTAGTGTGTCCACAGCCACTCCAATCATGGTCGGATCGTTACTTTCTGCCATTTCAAAGACTTTTTCCATAAAGACAGGGTATCGTTCACAGATTTGCTGTGGACTGTCTACAACAGCCAGATTTCCAAAAAATTTAACAAATCCTGAGGGAACAAGACAAAAAAAAAAAGTATTCAGAGTGGAGGAACAATAACTTTAGCAATGTCAAA